ATTCTCACTGGAACTGATTATTGTTGATCCCCTCCGTCCGGTAAGCATTTCAGTGACCGCACCTTGTTTTTTTACAAGGGGAAGTGAGGGGTCACCAAATTGGGTTGTTGGGCCCCGAACTACAACAACAACGGCTCCGGGATCGCATGTTTCCACCATCTATTCGAACATCGAGCTCTCTCGCGCGGGAGATCCTGACAATGTATGCAGGAAGCGCGCTGTCGCTTGGGACCTCCTCGAAATTTATTCAGACGCCGCGCCTTCGACACTGAGGAATGACGCTCTCGCTGTGACTTGTTTCGCGATTTACTCGGGAGCCGCGCTATCGGCCGAGACTTCCTCGCCGTTCATGCAGGACGCACGCTTCAGTAACCCGCCTGCTCGACCTGGTCGCCTGGACACGCCTTGCCGACCCGCTGGTTAAGGTCTACCCGCCCGATCTGCCCGTCTGGTTCTGCCACTTGTTTTCTGGGCCTAGCCCCCCCTCCTGCTACTCTCCCCCGTGCTCCGTCATTCTCCCTCCCCTTTGTCCCTTCCCTCCATTCGTCTTCTCTTCCCGTGACTTAGGGGCTGCACGAAATACATCCTTGAGGGGGTTACGCTTGAAGACGAAGAGGGCGGGTATCGAGGGTTTGGGATATACGTGTTGGATGGCTCGCGAACAGATAAGAGCGAACAGTCTTAACATGACTGTTGTTGGTGTTGGTGGTGTTGCTGTTGGGCCGCATTTCTGATGAATAATTACTGTTGGTCGCCCCCTCGGCGCACATTCTTTTTTCCTGCCAATTGAAGTGGCCAACTCAGAGCTCGCACCCGGTTTTCCATTCGGGAAAGTCTTGAGGGTCAAAGTGGCCCCTTGGCCCCCGAGTTACAATAACAACGGCCCCCGCTTGAAAGTTCTTCACATGTTATTCCAAGGGGGGGTCTCGCGCGCGACTTCGTCACAATGCATGCAGGAATCGCGCTCCCGCGTGGGACGTATTCGCAATTCTGACGCCGCGCCCTCGACACCCAGGAATCACGCCCTTGCTGTGGATGTCTTCACGATTGACTTGGGAGTCGCGCTGTCGCTCGAGACTTCCTCGCAATTCACGCAGGACGCACGCTTCAGCAGCCCGCCTGCTCGACCTGGCCGCCTGGGCCCGCTTTCACGACCCGCTCGTTAGGGTCTACCCGCCCGATCTGCCCGTCTGGTTTTGCCACGTGTTTTCTGCTCCTAACCCTCCTCCTGCTAATCCGTTTCCTGCTCCATCCTTCTTCTTCCCGTTGTCCCTTCCAATCGTCTTTTCTCCCCGTGCCTAAGGGGCTGCACGAAATACGCGTCGCAGGTCAAAACATATTCCCCCAATGATGTCACGGTCGAAGACGAGGAGGGCGGGTACCAAGGTTTGTGGATATAGGTGCTGAACGGCACGCGGGAAGATAAGAGCGATCATTATTAAAATGCTTGTCGCTGTGCTTGTGAACTTTGATTGTGATTTGTAGGTGCTGCTGGGTTCTTATTTCTAAAGTAAAAGGAATACCCATCGGTCGTTGAAAGTAGGTATTTTTGGAGTCCTATATTCCGATCTACTTTAGGCGCCTTCCTATTTCAATGATCGAGGTGCTTCTTCTTCTTCCTTCCTCTTCAGCGGGCGGGCGTGGACCCAATCTACTTCCAACGCCTTCCTACTTCATGTTTCTACCTACTTCTTCCGACCGATGGGTATTGTTGATCCCCCCTCCGGTAAAAGTTCTATCTTTCAATTGACGCGGTTCTTCCGGGGCTCGCCCCTTGCTCTTTTTACATGGGGAAGCGTGGGTTCGCCAAACTGGTCCCCAGGCCCCCGGAGTACAACAACAACAACAACAACAACAACAATGGTTCCCGCCTGACGCTTCCTTTCAGCTTATTAGAAAATCGCGTTCTCGCGCGTGGGACTCCCTCGCGATTTACTCAGACGCCGCGCCGTCCACACTCAGGAATCACGCTCTCGCTGCGGATTTCCTCATGACTTCGGTGAGAATCGCGCTATCGCTCGAGACTTCCTTGCAATTCACGCAGGACGCACGCTTCAGCAACCCGCCTGCTCGACATGGCCGCCTGGGCCCGCCTTCCGACCCGCTCGCTGGGGTCTGGCCGCTCCCGTCTGGTTCTGCAATGTGTTTTCTGCTCCTAGCCCCCCCTCCTGCTACTCGCCCCCTTTCATCCGTCCTGTCTTCCCTTGTTTTAGGGGCTGCGCTAAATGCGCGTGGCAGGTAAGGAAGATATCCCCCAAGGGGGGACGATCGAAGTCGAAGAGGGAGGTTCCGAGGGTTTTGGATAGAAGTGTTGCATGGCACGCGAGCAGGTAGGAGCGGTCAGACTTAAATGTATTGCTGCTGTTGTTGGTGGTGGTGCTGTTGTTGCTCTTGTTTTGTTGTTGTTCCTGCTGCTGCTGTTGTTGTGTGGGGCCAACAAACTAATATGAGCAGCAATATCTTCCCTGGCAAAAAGAAGCATTACAAGGTATGAGCCCCGGGCGGAACACTTGAATGACAAAAAACACAATGGGCATCGGGGGTGATCAACAACTGCCTTCCTTTAGAAATGAGAATTCAACAACGCAGCGACAATCCGCACCGCGGTCCCACCTCAGCCACGCACCCATGGACGGTGAATGACCGTTCCGCCCCCTTTCTCGGATCAGTGGCGCGCGTCGTCGTTCAAACAGGGCACGTTGCCCGTCCACGTGTTGTGTGAGAGCTCTGTGCACCTCTCCAGCAATCGCACGTTGGTGGGATCACCCAGTCGGTGTGGCGCTGTTATCACCTTCGCTTTTTTCCTTTGAGGACCTGCTGGGCTGCCTCAGCACAGGCTGGCCCCACCGGCCACTCCTGACGAAGGTCTTCGCGCAGTGAGTACCGTGCCTCTTTTTCCCGCCTTCGCGGCCGCCCTCCAGTCCCTTCTCCCCTCTTGCAGCCGGACAATTATTACATGACCGAGCCCGGCCCCCCAGAGCGCGCGCGTGCGAATCGCCTCGGCTGCGCTGCGATGAAAAAGCGTGCCCTCTGAGGACGGCCAAGGCGCTGAGTTGAGGACCGCTTTGGCCCCAATGGGTTCTTTGCTTTTCGGGCCGCTCCAGAAGTCCAGGTCGAGGAACGGCCTTGGGCGTCGCGCAATGGGAGAGCAATCGATGAGGGGCAACGAAAGCTGCAGAAAAGGGGTTCCCTGGGGGGGCCCAAAACAAGCCTTGAAGGTCCGAGAAGTGCGCCTGCCCCCCCCCCCAGGTCCCTTTACCGCCCTCCATTGGTTCACGCCCGACCTTCACCTGTGTCCTCGGAGGACGGCTAAGACGCTGAGCTGAGAACCGCCTTGGCCCGAAGAGGTTCTCTGGGGCTTGCGGGCCGCTCCGGAGGTCCAGGCCGGAGAATGCGGCCGCGGCTCGCCGGCCAAGGCCGTTCTTTCTATTCGGCGCCCGTTGTTGTTTGGCGGCGGGCCTGGAGGGGAAGTGAAAAAGGTCGCCGTTTTTCTACGCCGAGCGTCACGGGCCCCCGTCCTCCCCCCTCCCCCCTAGACCAGATCTTGGCTACTTTTGGCGGTTGGTTTTTGGCGACTGGTCAGGGCCCCTCCCACTGGTCCGATTGAGCGACTGGTAAAACCAGATCGAAGAAGCATTGGCCCAAACCCAGGCCCCTCGTACCACCGTTCGGCTAAGTGTCGAAACCGACGCTTAGTTATAAGTGCTTACGTGTGTATATTCACACAAACACACACATATATATACATATATACATACGCATATATTTATAAGCGCCTACACCGCGCATGCCTTCCCAGAAGGTTTGGAAGTCCCCCGGCTTTCTGAGAAGTTTCCGAAGCCGCCCCAGAGACACGGGAGGGCCTTCAGAAGGCCGGAGGTCTTCCGAGAAGCCGCGCCATTTGGATTTGGACGCCCGATATGGGTACGGAAAGATTCGGTACAATGCCCAACAACAGTTCCTGTTCATTTTGCACAGGACTCGCTGTCCGCGCCGCCGCGGCCTGTGTCCATTCGAGACAGAAGGCCGCCTGCCCAACAGCGGCCGCTGTTGGTTTGGGACAGCATTTGTTGTTGGGCATTGTACCCCTTTTTCCCGTACCCATTTCGGGCGTCCAAATGGGAGGGCCTCCTCCTGCTCACTTCCCCCCCCCCCCGCTCGCCGCCGCTGCTTCTGTAGCGCCCCTTCTGGTGGCCCAGTGCGCGGGAGGCCCAGAGGGTCCCGCCCTGCCCGCCGGTGCGGTGGTGCTGGGCTCTGTCGGGGCGGGGGCGTCCGCTCTGGGCCCAGGATCAAGCAGTGGCGAAGCGTCCCGGCTCGCTTATAGCCCCACCAAACAATGTTCTAAGAACCTTCTGTGGTTCCCACGACATGTCCTTAGAACAGTTCTGGCGGAGACTGCTTTGTTTTAGCACATCGGGTTTACGTTTTAAGAGCATTGTTTTTGTTATTAGAGCATTTGTGGGTTCTAAGAACATTTCGTGGTAGGACTATAGGGACGCCGGGACGGTCGGTCCCTGCTCAACAGGAGCGGGGTGGATGGCGCTCCGGCCAAGCTGGGAGAGCGTGTGCACAGATCCTGGGCCCATGATGGGCCTGGCCAGGGCCAGTGCCTGTGCGCAGTCCTTTTGCCTCTGGCAGAGGATGGAAAGGCGCCCGTGCCGCTGCCCCTTCGCCCATGTTGCCCTCCTGGGGCCTCCTGGGCGGCCCTCTCTTGGCCACCGCTGGACTCGCCTCGACATCCGGGTCCGAACGAGCCCCGGGAGAGGTCCCGGGCAGCGCACCTGGTCAGAACGCACTTGGTAGCGTTAAGTCGGGCATGTCCCTCTACAGGGAGAGCATTCGAAGATAATCAAACCAATTGTCTTGGGATGGTTTCTCTACTAGGTTTGCATATGTTGGCGCATGTTTCTGGCAATTCCTAATTTCTCCTCCCGAATCCGCCTGTAGGAGAGAATGCCCGACCTGGTGGTAGCGGTCTGGGTGCGTTTTGGCTGCCCCAGGTACGAGTTCGGGGTGCGGCTCGGCGACGGCTACAGGCTCTCCGGGGAGGCCAACTCGGCGGCGCGGGCGAGCGGGGGAAGCCGGAGGGAGGAGGCCCGGTTGGAGGGCGGCGGGGCTCCTCAGAGGGCCTCCACCTCCGGCCTTCCGAGAGGGGCCTTCCGAGAGGTTTTCCGCGCCTTCGGGGACGGCTTCGAAAGCGTCTAAGAAGTGCTGGGCCTGTTTTCCACCACCACCACCATAGGTTGGAGGGGCGAATGAGGAGGAGGACGAGGATGAGGAGGAGGAGGAGGAGGAGGACGGAGAGGAGGAGGAGGAGGAGGAGGAGGAGGAGGAGGAGGAGGACCCCCTCCCCCTCCAACTTATGGTGGTGGTGGTGGAAAACAAGCCCATCAACAAGGCCGAGGGACTTCCGAGTCTTCCGAGAGGGTCTCCTCCTTCTCATTTCCCCCCAAGGCTCTTTGCCGACTCAGGGGAGGACGGCGATACGGGGGGGAGGGAGAGGCTCAGGGGGAAACGCATCGACCCCCCATCTGACGAGCAAACACACACGCACACGCACACGCACACGCACACGCACACGCACACGCACACACACACACACACCCACACGCACACGCACACGCACACGCACGCACGCACGCACGCTCGCACGCACGCACACACGCACGCACACACACAAACACACACAAACACAAACACACACATACAAACACACACATAAACACACACACACAAACACACACAAACACACGCAAACACAATCACACACAACACACACACAAGCACGCACACACGAAAACAAAAACACATACACAAACACACACACGAACACACACACAAACACACACCCAAACACAGAAACACCAACACACACAAACACACACAACCACACACAAACACACACAAACACAAGCACACACACAAACAAACACAAACACAAACACACACAGAGACACACAAACACACACACACAAACACACACACATGCGCAAACACACAAACGCACACACAAACAGACACACTCACACACAAACACACACAAACACACACACACAAACACACACACAAGCGCAACCACACAAACGCAAGCACACACAAACATACACAATCACACACAAACACACTCACACACAAACACACACAAACACACACAAAGACACAAACACACACACAAACACACACAAGCACACACACAAACACACACTTTTGTTGGTCAAGAGCTAAACAGGACGCTGGCAGCCCTAATTAGGGAGACAGGGCGCGGGCAGGCGGGGCCGAAGATCTTGCACAGAACAAGGCGCGCCATGGGCTGGATCAGGGGGCTGAAGTGGAATGGTGTTGCCGTCATCGGCGACACAAACACACACAAACAAACAAAACCACTCAAACAAACACACACACACAAACACACAAACACACACAACCACACACACAAACACACACAAAACACTTACAACACCACACAAATAAACACAAACACTGAACCACACACAACCACACACAACCATACACAAACACACACAAACACACTCACACAAACACAAACACAAAAACACACACACAAACACAACCACGCACACAACCACACACAAACACAAACACACAAAATCACACACACAAAGCACTCACACAGACACGCACACACACCCATACACACACAAACACACAAACACACACACAAACGCAGGCACACACAAACACACACAAACGCACACACACACACACACACACGCACACACACAACCACACACACAAACACACACACGCACAAACACGCAAACACACACAAACACACTCACACATACCACACACACGCACAAACACACTCACACAACACACACAAACAGCACTCACAACACCAACAACCACACACGAACATACACACAGACACAACCACACACACAAACTCACAAGCACACACACAGACACACACACACACACACACACACACACGCACGGAAACACAAGCACACAAATACACACAAACACGCGCAAGCGCAAACACACAACCACACACACACAAACACACACAAACACCCACACAAACTCACACACACACAAACAAACACACACAAACACACACAAATACACACAATTCACACACATTCACGCAACCACACACACAAACACACAACCACACGCAAACACACAAGCGCACACACAAACACACACACACATACACACAAACACACAAACACACACACAAACACGCATACGCAAACAAGAACACACACACAAACACACAACCACACACGAACACACACACAAACACACACAAAGACACACTAGCTAACACACAAACGCACACAAACACACGCAATCACACAAACACACACACAAACAAACACACAGAGACGCAATCACACACACACACACGCACACACACAAACACACACAAACACACACAAACACACACACACGAACACACACAACCACGCAAACACACACAAAAACACAAACACACACAAACACGCACACACACACAAACACAAACACACACAAGCACACACAAACATACACAACCAAACACAAGCGAACACACAACCACAAGCACATTCAAAAACACACACAAACACACAAACACACGCCACACAAACACGCAAACACGCACACATACCCACACACAAACACACACGAACACACAAGCACAATCACACACACACACACACACGCAACACACACAAGCACACACAGACACAAAAACACACACACAAACACACACACATAAACACGCACAAACACACGCAAGCGCAAACACAAACAAACACACACAAACACAAACACAGACACACACACACACACACACAAACACACACAAACACACACACAAACACACACACAAACACAAGCACACAGAGCACACACACAAACACCCACAAACACGCAAAACCAAACACAAACACACAAACACACACAAACACACACAAACACCCACACAAACACACACAAACACACACACAAACACACACACACACGCAAACGCACACACAAACACACACACACAAACGCACAACCAAACACAAACACACACAAACACACACAAACACACACAATCACACACACAAACACACTCACAGAAACACACTCACAAACACACACAACCACACAAACACACACAAACACACACACACACAAACACGCAAAACATTCACATATACACACAAACACACATCCACACACAAACACACAAGCACACACACGAACACACACACACAAACACACAAACAAACACACACAGACAAACACACACACAAACACAAACACGCACACACACAAACACACACAAGCACACCCAACCACAAACACAACAAACAAAAAACACAAACACACACAAACATTCAACATCACACACACAAACTCACATAAACACATACACAAAAAGACACAAACACACACACACACACACACGCACACACACACAAACACCACAAACACACAAACACACATACAAACACACACCCAAACACACACACACAGACACAAACACACACAAACACACACACAAACACACACACACACAACACACACAAACACACACAAACACACACAAACATTCACAAACACACACACACGCCCATACATACCCAGAGGGGAGACGGAGGGGTCTCTGGGTGCGTGTTCCCGAAGGGGGGTCCCTGCTCGGACGGGGGCCTCCCACGGGATCCGACACCCCGTACCCAAAGCCATTGCCAGTCCTCCTCCCTCCGGCCCCCCTTGTGGGCATGGGTGTCTTAGATGCTTGTTTTGCGGGACCCTCCTGGAGCCCACCTGACGGACCGGTTCGACCCCAGTTCGAAGTCGAGTTCGGCTCGAGTGCGACTCGACGTCGACCCAAGTTCGACTCAACTTCGACTCAGGTTCGACTCAGGTTCGACTCGCATCGACGGACGTTCGACGCAGCTTCGGACGCAAGAGTGGAGCGAGCGTCCCCAGGGAGGTCCCGAGAGTGAGCATCCCTGGCGTGTGCTGCCCTTTCGTCGCAATCGCCCATCCGTCGCCGATGGGCGGCCCGACGGCCCGCCCCGCCCGGGAACGTGCGCTTTCCCCAAACGAAGTTCCAATCTTTTTTCGTGGGAGGCGATCCAAGTCAGGAGGGCCAGAACAGTAGCGAGAGGGGGCTCTCTTCTGCAGGCGGATCGAACCAGACCGCCCAGATCTTCCATCCCGAATGCAAGGGCGGAGAACTCAGCGAGGCCTCGTCCTCACTGTCTTACTCGGGCCAGGGGTCCTCTCATCCTCGATGAGCTTGTCGCCGATCTGTCGGCGGTGTGTCGCCGATCCCAGGTCAACGTTCCCCCTGGAGCCGGTCGCCCCTTTCCGTCCCCCTCGCCTGAGGTGCGGGAAAGATCTGTATCCATATCCAGTGCGTCTTGCACTTTCTTGGAAGGGGCGCCACAAGTCCGAGGCGCACTGGATATGGATAAAGATCGAGCCTCAGGGGGTAAACTCATCCATATCCAGTGCGCCTCGGGGCCTGAAACTCCATGCTGCAGTGGATATGGACAGAAGTATTGCCCGCAGGATGGGCAACCTTCCCCAAGAGGGTGCCCAGGTCGGATGTTGGCAGACTTCCTGGCCTGACGCGTCGAGTCAGGAATTTGCGTTTTCGGTTCGCGAGGGTGCGTCGCGGCCGTCGTTCTTGCGGGTCCAGGTCCGTCGGTTTCGGTCCCAGGCCGTTTTCACTAAGGGGAGGTTCACTAAAGGGAGGCTTGTACACCGCCGACATGGCATCCTTGCCCCTTCGGCCCATCCTTGGCGACTCTCGCTGGCCGACCTCGCTCGACGACCGCGAGCGTGGCCCTCCAGGGCCCTTGCACCCTTACCGCGCATCCTCATGACACGGGTCGACTGTATGCCATCTCGCGAAAGACCCGTTTGCGATCCTCGCTCACTTCGCCCCTTCCCCCCCCCGCACTTCCTCCCAGAGAGGACTCGCAGATGGGGGCTCTGGCCCGAGGTGGGGGCAGGGAACGAGCAGGACTAAAGGCTTACACGCCGGTCGTTGAAAGTAGGTATTTTAGGATTCCCAGATCCCAATCTACTTCAAGCGCCTTCCTACTCCAAGAATCGACATGCTTTTGCTGTGTTTTGTTATTCTCTGGGAGGACCTGGACCCAATCCACTGTATCCGCCGTCCTACTTCATGTTTCTACCTACTTCTTCCGAACGACGTGTACGTGTTTGGTGCTAGTTTGGGGGACCTTTCTTGGGGCCCACCTGCCGGATCTGTTCGACTCTGGTTCGACCCCAGTTCGACTCAAGCTCGACTCAGGTTCAACCCAGGCTCGAGGTCGAGGTCGGCTCAAATCGACGGACGTTCGACGCAGCTTCGCCGCACGAGTGGAGCGAGTGTCTCCAGGAAGGTCCCCTGAGTGCGCATCCAGCACGTGCTCCCTCTTTTACGGGCCGTCCAGGGCGAGTTTCCCCTAGCGCCTCCCTTATGGCTTTGCTTCCTATTCACGACCCCCCTATCAAGGGCAACAATCGGGCGGGATAGGAAGAGGGGGTAATACATCGACCCCCAATCGCCCATCTCATCGATAGGGGTCGGATTGCCCTTCCCCGCCCAGGAACGTGCGGTGTCGCTCTCGGGGGCCTATCGCCGATCTATCGTCGATGTATCGCCGATTTCAGGTCGATGTTTCCGTCCATATGCCAGCCCCCCCCCCCATATCGTTGCCCCTCAAATCAGGAGGGGGATGGGCGGAGGGACGGCGTGGACCTGCATGTTTCGGGAAGAAGCAACGACCGAAGCATGAGAATTCTGGGGGTCCGCGCGGCTTTCTCGGATCGGCGCTGGCCCCCCTCCTCCCTGGCGCGCGGGGGGCGCCGGGGGCGACGCCGGAGGCGCCGCCAGGGGGGCCCCGCGCCGATCGGAGAGATCCGCGCGGAGCTCCACACGTTTTTACAAGGGCTCCCACGAGGGTGCGAAGTTATTCGCGCTTCGCGCTTCGCGGTCCTCGTTCCTTCTCCTCCTCCTCCTCGTCCTCCTTTTCTTCCTTTGGGAGGGCGGCGCGAGAGCGCGAAGTTATTCGCGCTTCGCGCTTCGCGCAGCGCGAAGCGCGAAGTTGGGAGCCCTTGTTTTTATGTTTAGTTACCCATCGGTGGTTGAAAATAGGTATGCTTGGAGTCCCAGATCTCACCACCCACCAAACCACCCCAACCCAACCCGAAGGCCCAAATTTATCCTCGATTTCCAGTGGGGGGGGGGTCGGGGACCATTGAAAAAACACATGGAACCCGTACCCCCCCCAACCCGAAATTCGGGTCAAATTCGGGTCTTCGGGTTGGGTTGGGGTGGTCTGGTAGGTAGTCAAGATCCCACTCAACGTTTTAAGCGCCTTCCAGCTTCAATCATCGAGTGGCTTCCCCTTTTCCGTCCTCCCAAGGGGGCGGGCGGACACCCAGCCTTTTTGTCAACGCCTTCCTGCTTCATGTTTCTGCCTACTCCTTCCGACCGATGGGTACGCCGTTTGTGGTTTCTTAGGGAGCCACATGCGGACCCTACCCCTACCCCCCACGATTTTGAGGGGGAGGGTGGGGTTCAGTTCGCTCGGAAGCTCCCGAGCGAAGGGAACCAGGGGATAGGGGTAGGGTTCGCATGTAGCCCCTTATTGGGCTGGCCTCCGGCCAGTGCCGCCGATCCGGGCGGTCTGGGCTCCGGAAGTGGAGTTTTCTATGCCCCCCTGTCCCCGGGTACCGAAAAACGTCGGAAATGACGTCGGAAATATCCCCGTGTACCAGAAAACGTCGGCAATGACGTCGGGAATGACGTACGCCCCCCCTCCCCCCCTGCAGAGCGAAGCTTGAGCGAGCTCAAGTCCACGCTCCCAGAAGCTCACTCGCCGGATCGGCGGGTCTCTCCCTTGCCGCTCGCGCCCCAGGCTCGGCCCCTGGTCCGAGGCCTCCGCCCCGCTGCCCTTCGCCATCTCCCCGCCGTGCCCGGGGCAGGGCGCCGGCATCCGCGTGCAGGCCGCGGGGGGGGGCCTCCGCGGGCGCCCTGGGGGGGGGGGGGGGCCGAGGGGCGCAGGGGGCGGCAGAGGCGCCAGCTCTCCCAGGCCCCTGCGGGCATCGGAAAAATTCGGGAGGGGAAAACACATATATTTTTTGGATTCGCGGGTCGAGAGCGCACCTCTTCCGGTCGAAGCTAAGCGGGCCGCGCGAAGCTTGAATTAGGCAGAGAAAAGGAAGGAGGAAGCGGCGGAGCCTCAGAGCGAGGCCGAGAGGAGGCATAACCTCGGATACAGGCGGTGCCGAAGCCGAAGTGCTTGCAAAGGGAAGCCTTCGGCAGGAGCCTGGTGGCGAAGTAGCGGAGAAAAGCATCATGCTACCGTAGGTGTTTTGTCGTAGGGGGGAAAACACACAGACACAATTAATCGTCGACTCCCAGGACATAGTAGAAACATATGGGAATTGGGGGGAAGACGAAAACCAAGAAAATATAGGAACATATAGGGAATCCTGTGATTTATGTGTTTTTCTTTGTGTGCCCCAGGGCCCCTTCAACAATCGTGACGGGAAATTTCCCATTCTTCTCGGCCTCCGGGTGCCCTTACCGGGCCTCGGGATCATCAAACGACGACTCGGAGCGAAGTGCTGGTCCGAGGGAAGGGGTCGAGACCTCTGAGGGCCGACATTATGAAACAAGCCATGACCAACATGGGGCCAAAACTTCAGTAAAACCAATGAGTTGGGTTTTCTCGCCGAGGCCGTTTTAGACGCTCCGGCGACTCGCGGAACGCCCCGTCCAGGTCCAGGGGAGGGGGTAGGGGGAGGGGAGACGCCCCCCCCGCCCGCAAGCCGTCTCGCTCACCCCCACCCGCCCTCCCAACACATACGTAGCACCCAAGTCTGGTCAGCAGTCGCCTTTGGATGGGCAGCTACTGGGGGCCAATCCGCCGCTGCCGCCGCCGCCTCCGCCGCCGCCGCCGCCGCCGCCGCCGCCCCCGCTGCCAAATCGCCGCCGCCGCAGCCGCTGCCGCCGCCGCCGCCACCGCCGCCGCTGCCGCCGCCGCCGCCGCAGCCGCCCCCGCCGCCGCCGCCGCCCCCCCCCGCCGCCGCCCCCGCCTCCGCCGCCGCCGCAGCCGCCGCAGCCGCCGCCGCCGCCGCCGCAGCCGCCGCAGCCGCCGCCGCCGCCGCCAAGTGGTGGTGGGGGGAGGCCGCATCGGGTTGGCCGCGCGTGGTCCGAATTTGGAGGCAGAGTGTGTTTTGTATGGTTTGTTATAAGGGATGTTGGGGGGGAGGCCCTCATGGTTGCTGGTTGGTTACCAGTCGTCTGGGGAGGAGGTGTTTATTGATATGGAACAGTGATCAACCCCTCCCCGAAGGGGAAGAAGGGGTTGGAAGAGGAAACGCCCTAAACCACCTACGCCCTACAGGGCCGGTGGGATTCACGACGCCAGGGGTCTGGGCTCGGAGGTCCGCGCTGGACCTCCCCTCGCTCGTGCCGATGCCTCGGGTTCGCTTCGATGGCGACGGCTTCCGCGTCCGAGGCGGCCTTCGAAGTCCGAGGCGGAGACGGCCGTTTTCTCTCCATAGAGGGGGGCCTCTGCTCGCCTGCCGGGCTCTGCCGATCCGGCTTCTGCCCGACCCGGCTGCCGACTATTCCCGCCGCCCCGATGCAGTTCGATCGCCGATGCTCCGAGGCGGGACCCTGCACAGGACCACCGCTTGGAGGGTCAGTTCTCGGAGCCTCGGCAGGCGGCGGATCTGGACATACTCGGCCCCCCCGGGGGCCGAACTATATACACATATATATATATATATGTGTGTATATATATATATACCTACATATACACATATATATATATATGTATATATACATATGTGTATAGATATGTATATATATATACATATATATACATATATATATATATATTCTATCTATGTCCGCCGCCCGCTGGGGCACCAGGACGTCGGTGCCCAGGCGGTGGATCTGGATGACTCCCCGCCTCGCAGGTGCGACCTCTGGATCCGATCCTGGGCTCTCCTGCCCTCCACCGGCCCGCGGAGCGCGCCGCGGCTGCGCTGGGGGCGCCGCAGGGATTGAAAAAAACACATGGAGCTGGTACCCCCCTCCAACCCGAAATTGGGGTCTTAGGGTTGGGTTGGGGTGGTCTGGTGGGTAGTCACCCTCTGCGACGGTGTGGCGAGAACGACTGGACGGCGACGGAGTTCTGGTGGGCCCCCTTTTTGTTGGCAGCCCCGGCGGCGCCCCCGGCGTGCTCCGCGTGCCGGCAGAGGGGGGCGTCCAGCGCCGACGACAGGAATCTGGGCGGAGCAACGAGAGCCGGCACAGAGACGACACAGGACGTCTTGACTGCCAGCGTCGCGCTTCACCTGCCGTCGGCCCTGATTAGTAGGTCGGCCCTGCCAAACCGAGGGTCTCTTTGCGTCCTGTGTCTCGCAACCCACATGCCTGTGGCAATGGGGCCCTCGGAAGGGTCTTCTGTTCTTTGGCGTGTCCTGTCCAATCAAGCCCGTCTGTGCGGAGGCCCTGGGAGATGCTCCAGGGCATGAAGTTCAGGAGGGAAACAAAAAAACACAGACACAATTAATCGTCGATCCCCCAGAAAATATGGGAAACTATAGGAAGTGGTGGGGAAGACAAAAACCCAGAACGTGTAGGAAAATATGGGGGATCTTTTTATTTGTGTGTGTATTTATTTGTGTGTCCCAGGGCCCCTTCAATGAAGGTGCGAACGGGGCTCGGACGAGGGCCCATCCGTTCCAGAGCGTTCCGGCACGCTCTGAGAGCGCTCCTGAACGCTCTGGCACGGCCGCGGCGCGCGACACGTCATCCAATCGGAGGAGGAGGAGGAGGAGGAGGAGGAGGAGGAGGAGGAGGAGGAGGAGGAGGAGGCAGAGGAGGAGGAGGAGGAGGAGGAGGAGGAGGAAGAGGACCCGCCGATTGTCGGAGATGCCCGACTCGCATCGGTCCGATGTTGTTTGGATTCTACCTTCGTCGTTCTCTTGCACGGGGCGTCTAGAGCTCCGACCACTTTCTTTCGGCACGGCAGCCCCTCCATCACCCACACATTCCACCAGCCAGCGCACACCTCCGCCTCGACCCGCCTTATTTCGGCACGCCACACCCGTCCGCCCCGACCCCTTTATCCTGGCACGGCACACCCTCTCCACACCCCCTCTGCATCCCCCCCACCCACCAGCCAGCGCGCCCCTCCGCCCCAAACCCTTTATTCCGGCACGGCACACCCCTCCGCCCCGACCCCTTTTATTTCGGCACGGCACTCCTCCCTCAGCATCCCCCCACCCACCATTCAGCGCGCCCCTCCGCCCAGACCCCTTTTTATTTCGGCACGGCACACCCCTCCGCCCCGACCCTTGTGTTTCGGCACGGCACACCGCCTCCGCATCCCCCCACCCACCAGCCAGCGCGCCCCTCCGCCCCGACCCATTTATTTCGGCACGGCACACCCCTCCGCCCCGACCACTTCATTTCGGCACGGCACACCCCCTTCCGCATCCCCCCCATCCGCCAGCCAGCGCGCCCCTCCGCCCCGACCCGTTGATTCGGCACGGAACACCCCTCAGCCCCGACTGTTTTATTTCGGCACGGCACACCGCCTCCGCACCACCACCCCGCCCACCACCCAGCGCGCCCCTCCGCCCCGACCCATTCATTTCGGTTCGGCAGCCCCCCCCCCCCCTGTATCCCCCCACCCACCAGCCAGCGCACCCCCTCCGCCCCGACTCCTTTCGGCACGGCGCCACCCCCCCGCGCGCCCCCCCGTCCCGACCCTTTATTTCGGCAGGGCACACCCCTCAGTTCGTCACGGCACAACCCCCTCCGCATCCCTCCCCCCCGCCCGCCAGCCAGCGCGTTTCCGCCCCGACCCATTTTTATTTCGGCACGGCACACCGCTCCGCCCCGACTGCTTTATGTCGGCACGGCACATCGCCTCCGCATCCCCCCACCCACCAGCCAGCGCGCCCCCCCGCCCCGACCGTTATTATTTCGGCACGCCCGCCCCTCCCCCGCGCCGCCTCCGCCCCGACCCCCTTTTTTTATTTCGGCACGGCACACCCCTCCGCCCCGACGTTTTTTTGTTGTTTGTTTTTGTATTATCATTATTATTACTATTATTATTATTGTTATTATTATTAGTATTATCATTATTATTAGTAATAATAATATTATTATTATTATGTTTATTATTATTAGTATTATTATTATTCGTATTATTATTACCATTACTATTATTATTGCTTAATTTATATATACGTGTATATATATATATATATATATATATATATAGATCGGCACCGCACACCCCTTCCGCATCCCCGCCCACCCACCAGCCAGCGCGCCCTCCGCCCCGACCCCTTTTTTTATCTCGGCACGGCACACCCCTCCGCCCTGCCGCCCTGACGCCTTTATTTCGGCACGGCACACCCCCTCCGCATCCCCCCCACCTACCAGCCAGCGCGCCCCTACGCCCCGACCCATTTATTTCGGCATGGCACACTGCCTCCGCATCCCCCCACCCACCAGCCAGTGCGCCGTTCCGCCCCGACCCCTTTATTTCGGCACGCCCCCCACCTCCAACCGATTCCTATTTCGGCACGCCCCCCCCCCCCTCTGCATCCCCCCCATCCGCAGCCAGCGCGCCCCCCCGCCCCGGCCCTTTCACTTCGGCACGGCACCTCCTCTCCCATACCCCGCATCCGCCCACTTACAAGCCAGCGTGCCCCCTCCGCCCCGCGACCCCTTTATTCCGGCACGGCCCCCCTCCTTCTCCCCGCGCGCGCCCCTCCGCATCCCCCCACCCACCAGCCAGCGCGCCCCTCCGCCCCGTCGCCTTTATTACGCCCCCCCCCCCCGCACCCACCCACCCACTCCCAAGCCAGCGCGCCGCCCCGACCCCTTCATTTCGGCACGGCACACCCCTCCGACCCGACTCCTTTATTCTTTTGTATGGGGTGTTCAGAGCTCCGACCACTTTATTTCGGCACGGCACCCCCTCCACCACCCACCCATTCCATCCACCAGCCAGCGCGCCAGCCAGCGCGACCCCGGCGCGCCCCCATCCCCCCCACCCACCACCCAGCGCACCCCTTCCGCCCCGACCCTTGTATTTCGGCACGGCACCCCCCCTTTATTTCGGCACGGCCCCCCCCTCACCAACCAGGACCACCATCCCCCCACCCGCCAGCCAACGCGCCCCCTCCGCCCCGACCCCGAAATTTCGGCACGGCACATCCCTTCCCCACCCACCCAGACCACCATCACCTCACCCACCGGCCCGCGCGCCCCCTCCGCCCCGCGATTGAAAATTTCGGCACGCCCCCCCCAATCCCGCGCGCCCCCTCCGCGCCCCCTCCGCCCCGACCTCAAAATTTCGGCATGGCACCCCCCATCCCACGCGCCCCCTCCGCATCCCCCCCACCCACCAAATAGCGCGCCCCCTCCGCCCCGACCCTTTTCACTTCGGCACGGCAACCCCCCCATCCCGCGCGGCCCCTCCGCATCCCCCCCGCCCACCAGCCAGCGCGCCCCCTCCGCCCCGACCCTTGTATTTCGGCGCGGCACCCTTCCCCATCCCACGCGCCCCCTCCGCATCCTCCCACCCACCCACCCACCAGCCAGCGCGCCCCCTCCGCCCCGACCCTTTCATTTCGACACGGCACCCTCCTCCCCATCCCGCGCGCCCCCTTCCGCATCCCCCCAAACACCAGCCAGCGCGCTCCCTCCGCCCCGACTCTTCCATTCTCGTGCACAGGGTAGGGTGTCTAAGAGGTCCGACCATTTCATTTCGTCACGGCACGGGTCGTTGCAGCCCTTCGGCCCGCGCCTCACAGTGCGCCCCCTCCGCATCCGCTTTCTAAAGCAGCCATGCCGAAGCACCCCCCCGGCCCTCCGCATCCTTCCCCCGCCAGCCAGCGCAGCCAGCCCGCCAGCGAGAGCGCCCCCTCGGCGCACCCCCTCCGCCCCGACAACTTGATTTTGGCACGGCGCCGGCCCCGCCAGCCAACGCCGCCCCTCCGCCCCGACCGCTTTATTTCGGCACGGCGCCTGGCCCCAGACCCAGCCTCCTCACCTGGCCCTGGCCCCAGCCCCCCTCGCCCCGAACCCCTTATTTTCGTTTGTCGTCGTCCCCCTGGTCCTGGCCCTCGACCCAGCCTTCACCCTGGTCCTCGACCCAGACCCCCTCGTCGTCGCCACCCTGGTCCTGTCCTTGGACCCAGCGTCCTCCCTTGGCCCTTGCCCCAGCCCCCCTCTCCCTGGACCCTTCATTTTCGCTCGTCGTCGTACAGTCAACCCGTATATATAGTAAGGATGCGGGATAATGATGCAGGGGCCTTGGATGTCCATTTCGAAGCTTCCCGAGCGGGGCGCAGCCAACTGAAGTGGTCAAGGATAGACCGAAGAGGCAAGGATGCGAGGGTACCTTTGGGAAGGTTGCCCATCCTTGCTTTGCGGGTTGACTGTGTCCCTGGCCTTGGCCCTGGACCCAGCCCCCCTCGCGCCAGACTCTTTATTCTCGTTCGTCGTCGTCCCCCTGGTCCTGACTCTGGCCCTGGAGCCAGCCTCCCTCCCTGACCTGGCTCCAGCCGCCCTCGACCCCCTGGTCCTGGCACTGGACCCAGCCTACCCCCCTTGTCGTTGCCCCAGCCCCCCTCGCCCCGCTTGCCCTGCCCCTGGACCCAGCCTCCCCACTTGGCCCAGCCTCGAAAATCTATCGCGCTGCAACTGCCCCAAAAACTAATTCGAGCAGGTCCCAATCGACCTAGCGCCCTAGCCCCACAAGCCCCTTTTCCTCCTCCTCCTCCTCCTCGCTTCCTTGATCCCCCCACCTGCGTTTCCTCCTCCTCTCGTCATATGTGCAAGAGCCAGAGCACGCGTGCCACTTGTCTTACTTACCAGCGCCGTGCTTCACCTGCGGAGGCCTTGGGAGAACTTGCTGGGCATGAAGAGGCGCGTAGGTGCGAGAGGTCGCTTGTGAAGTCGAGGGTCGACTCCAGGTCGGCATGAAGACGTGCGCCTGCCAGCGCCCATCCCTCTTTCTGCTCCCCACGCGCCTATCGGAGGTTGCCAGAGGTGGTCCTCGCCCGAAAGGTGCCCCTAGCTTTTCGAGCAATTTCGGACCCCAGGCTCCAGGATCTCACTGGGCCTCGTGAGACAGCCTCTGGAGGGCACCTGCCGAGGTCTCCCAAACGGGGCCCGAGCAGCGGACAAAAATCTGGCATACAGCGGAGACCCATGCCAACAAGCACCTTGCTTGCCTCCAGGGTGCCCTTGGGTTTCGATGGTTGCGCTACAGAAAGCGTGACGTTCCCACACCAGAAACCAATGGACGTCCTGGGGTCTCAGGGTTGGGTTTCTTGTGGGGAAGGTTTGTTCTGGACGGGCCTCCATTGTTCAGAGCCTGGATTGCCTACCCCGCGTTCGATTCCAGGCAAAACCAAGTCATACCACGCGCCTCCCTAATTGTATCGAGCGGCACCGCCACTGCACCGGCGATGCGGCGCGATCTTCCGACCCCAGAAGCCCGGTGGCTCTCGGGTCATGGCCTGGGCCTCTAGCGGCCCCTTCCGGGACCACGGCCGGGGGGCGCCTGGGCGACGCGATCCAAGGGGGTCGCCGCTGCTGTGGCGCACCCCGAGGCTGGAAACGTCCGCCCGGGGACGCCGGAACTCTCCGAAGGGGGCCTGGAGACGGGGGTCGTCAGTGCAACGAGGGTCAGCCAGGGCGCCCGATCTTGCAGAATCCTGCAGGGCCAGGGTCGCGCTGACCCGGGCTTGGGTGCGGGAGCTTGCAGGAGCTTGCAGGATCCTTCGCGCTGACCCGGGTGTGGGCGCAGGGTCTTGCAGGAGCCTGCAGGGTCTTGCAAGGCCTGATTGACCTGGGTCTGGATATCACCACCCACCAAACCACCCCAACCCAACCCGAAGGCCCGAATTTGCCTTCCATTTCCAGTTGGGGGGGGTCGGGGAACGTCGAGAAAACACACATGAAGCCCGTACCCCCCCCAACCCGAAATTCGGGTCTTCGGGTTGGGTTGGGGTGGTTTGGTAGGTAGTCTGGATAGACCCTCCGGGGAGCCCCTGCGCCTCCGAGCCCGAGCCTCGGAGGCGGTGGGGCCAAGGAGCGCCGAGGCCGCCCGATAGGGAGCCCGCGGGTGGAGAGGCCTCGGCGCCCCGAGCCTCTCCGCGGGGGGCTGCGGGGGGCCACCTCGGGGCAGCCTCTCCGGCGTGGCGCGTGCCAGGCGCGGGAGACCACCGCGGTGCTGTCGTGGGAGGCCTTCGAGCCGGACGCGGAGCTGGCCGAGAGGTCGTCGCCGTCGCATCGCCGTCGTCGTCGTCGTCGTCGCCGTCGTCGTCGTCACGTCGCCGTCGTCGTCGCCGTCGCCGTCGCCGTCGCCGCCGCAGCGAGTGCCAAGGCCAAAGGAAAGGGCAAGGCCGTCGGGGTTGGCGATGCTCCTGCTAGTGCGGGAAGGAAGAGACGTACTACTGGTAGTGCAGTTCGACCTCGCCGTGAAGGCGAAGTACGGGGACGGGAAGGCGGATGTCGAGCTGCGGGAAGAATGGAGCCTGCCGAGTGGGTCCGAAGAATTTGGGGACTTAGGAGGCTACTGGAACGCGACCTTCTGTCGGGCCACAAGATGAACGAGCACTGGCTGGGGCTAGACTTTCAGGTGCCGCTGCTTCGACCTGACCGAGTACTCGACCACGCGAGGTTCGACACGAAGAATAAGGACATCGAGTACGGCAAGGGAGGAGAAACGAGGAGGGGGGGACGGGTCGCCAATGCCGCCAGTGCGGCGCCCCCCCTTGAGGACAGCTGGGTGCAGCCTGGGCTGGCGAGGGCGTGCTGGACGGACGCTTTCGAGGAGTCCGACTGGTACATGAAGAACACCGAGGAGAAAGTTGAGGAAAGGAGGAGGGGTCGGAAGGGCCGCCAGTGCGGCGCCCCCCCCAGGGGCCAGTCGGGTGCAGCCTGAGCCCATGTGCACCATGGAGCGGCGAGCGCGTGCTGGACAGGCGCCTTCGAAGAGGCCGACCGCTGAGGAGAAGGGCGATGCCGCCAGGATGAGGAGGCGCGAGGAGGAGACCGAGTCTGGAGAGCGAAGGGCTGGGCCAGGAGGGACCACCCACCCAGCCGCAACCGAGGCCGCGAGTGAAGGGTGGCCAAGTGGGCTAGCTGCTGGCGAACGGGCCTGGGCCAGGTGGGCCGGCCGCAGTGCCAGGTGGGCCACTTGCGGAACCTTGGCGAGATTGGTGGTATCCATGATTTGGTGGGTTTGGCTTGGCAGTTGGCTCGGGGCAAAAAGAGCCTCACCCCCAGCATGCTGCTGATGCTGCTGCTACTAAGAACCCCACGCCGAAGGCCACGGTGGCGTCCCGTTCGCCAGACGGGCCGGCCTGCTGCGAAACGCCTGTCCCGTGCAAGTGCGCCCAGAGCCCAGGCAGGGGTTTGTCCGCATTTACTGGTTTAGCGTGCAATATCGCGTGCAGGCCTCGGCGCCGCCAGGGGCCGCGACATGGGGGTGCACTTCGGGGCGACTGGCGCCCTCGGGCGGGCGAAATGTCGAGGTCGCGATCTGGGCAGCGAGCGCCAACAGCTGGAGCTCGGCGGTGCGCTTGCTAGATGTGGCTGACGGCATTGGTTACGCACTTTCGAGAACGTGCTGCTTCAGGAGCACCGCGGCAAGAAGTCGAAGACGTTCGACCATGCCCGCAAGTGGGCTGCTAGGCGGGCGTCGAAAGCGCGCCAAGGCTGGGCTGAAGCTATTGGCGAAGGAGCGGTGGAGTCGAGTGGATTCGCGGCAGCGTCGGCGACGAGAGCCAGAGGCGGCAAGAAGGTTGAGGATATGCAGGAACGCTGGAAGCACGGGCGGGCGGCGGCAGAGTCCACCTGGGGCCACAGGTGCAGGCGCTGATGGCGGCGTTCGGCCTGGAACGCAACGTAAGGTCACCAGCGGTGCAACGACCGCAAAAGAGGAGTTCGATTGTTTACTGTGGTCAACGCGCTGACAGCGCTGGCGTAGGAGGTGAAGTGGTCGAGGAAGTGGCGTGCTGCCAGCACTTCCGGTGGGGCCCACGCTGGTAGGAAGGAGTGGGCAGGAAGGCGCAGATACACGTCTTCGGCGCGCCATGGAAGGTGGACCTCGAGATGCCCCCGCCAGCGGGGAACCCGCCTGAGGAAGGTGGGGTGGGTGGAGACGTCAGGCGCAGACGAGGCGCGCAAGGAGTGGCCCACCGAGGTCGGCGACTACTACCTGCACGAACTCCACGAGCTGGCCCCAGCCAGGATCCGCCGCGCGAGGGGGGCGAGCTCGCGCATCGTGGACCGCGGGGCGCAGCGGCAGCGAGGCCCGGGGAAGAGGTCGCGCGCAGCGACCAATAGCTACGCAGCTACGCGGACAGGACAGCGGCGCCAGTGAAGCCGAGGAGCGCTGGGGCAGGCCCTGCGCGAAAGCGCGCCGAGCGACGGCCCGGGCGATGGAGGGGCTCAGCAAGGGGCGACCGCGATCAGCTGACCAGACATCGGCCTGACTGCAGGAGTGGGCCAAGAAGGTCACCGGCTGGATCTGCAAGGACACCGCGGAGAAGTAGCTCAGCGCAGTCGATGCGGCGAAGGGGCAGCTGAGGAGGCGCGCGGTCGAGGGCGCGGAGGAGGCCCGCGTCCGCTGGAAAGCGCGACTGGGAAAAATGCCAAGGAGGAGACTGTCGGCTAGGCGCTTCCCGCTTCCTGAAACACAGAATGGCAGGGGCGCCGGGAGACGGCGGCGACCCCGAGGTCGAAGGCGCTTCACAGGAAGGGATCGCTGCCATGGAGGCGGCGCTGCAGGCCCAGCTACCGCTGCGGGCACAGGAGACGAGGAGGCAGGAGCAGCGCCCCAGGGACTGGGGCAGTGGCAAATCACGGGTGGCAGGGCCGCGAGGTGCTGAGCAGGTACCAGGGAACGGGGCGAGGCCCGGGTTGGCTTCCCGCGCCCGCTGCACCGCCTGCCGACGGCAACTGCGACGGGCTGGCGGAGATCTTCGCCGCGTGGGATGCGGAGGCGAGGCCGCTAGCGCCGTGGAGCGCGGCGGCAGCGTTCTTGGCAGAGCCCGACGCAGGAGTTGGGCCCGTCCACCGCGCGGCCGTCGCGATGGCGACCTGGGGCGGGATGCGGCGGCCGATCGCGGCGCGCAGGGGGCCAGGGCCGCGCTGCGGGGCCAGGGGCGCGTCTTGGTGTCGGCGAACGCTCACCGTGCGACATGGCTGTGGCGATCTCGAGCCACGTGGCCCGCCGCGCCAGGATGGCGGGCCCCGCGCGCGGCGCCCCCCAGATTGACGCGGCGAGTTTCTAGGGGCACGTTTCCCGCGGGTCGCTCGGGAGGAGGGCTGGGGGGCCGGCGTTCCAGATGGGCTGCTACGGCGCCAGCGCATCAGCGACGGGGCGCCGAGAAGGGCGCAGTGGGGCGACGCGGTGGGCGAGGGGCTCGAGATGCATGGCGCGCCGGCGGCGAGATATACATGTGCGACGGGCCTGACTAAGGTCATGGCGCGACCGGCGCTCTGCCTGCCGGTCGCGGAGCACCTTGCCGCGCGGCGCCAGAGCGCGGCAGGCGACGCAATGGCGCCGGCGGCGTGCGCGCGCTTATCTGCGCATGCGCGCGCAGGGGAGGGGGGGGGGGGGGCAAACGGCCGCGTCTCAAACCCCCGGCGGCCGTGGAGGGGCTGGCGGGCGGCTGGAGGCCAAGGACGCAGTGGCGCCGTGGCCCAAGACGAAGCACATGGCAGACGACGAGGAGATGGCGGCCCTCGCGCAGCGCGTTCGCGGAGTCGGGCCCAAAGCTCGAGAGGCCGGCGGGGTGCGGAACCACGGGCGCGGCGCTTGCGATGGTCGGTGGGGGAAGATGAGCGGGGCAAGAGGATGGCCAAGTCGGCCAAGGCGGCATGGCGCGCGCAGGCGACGAGGGCCGCAGAAGCGGCGCCGGGGGCCACCCGCAGAGGAGCAGTCCCGCGGCGGCGGCGATCAGGGGGGCGCGCCACGGGCGTCGTGAACGGCGCGGCCCAGCAGCTCAGCAACCGGGCGACCAAGTCTGAGGGGATGGGAGCGGCGGCGCATCTCAGGCCGCGGGCCTCGCCGCCAGGAGGCAGGAAGCATCCTGCTGTCCCTGCGGCGGCCGAGCGTCTGCGACGTGCGCGGCGATGCCCTCCACGGCGCTGCCGCGCGCGGTGGCGAGCAGCCGCCGGCGGGGGGCGGGCAGTGCGCTGCAGGAGACAAGGCCGCGGGCGGGCGCGGCCAGCCCAGCGGGCGCCGCACTCCTCGCGAGGGCGAGGTCAGGGATCCGCACGCCGACGGCGTTCTTGCTCGAGATGCCAACAGAGGAGGTGCTGGACATAAGATGGCCGGGCCCGGGGCTGGTCAGCGACGCGGCGGCGAGGGCGGCGAGGTGAAACGCGGGTGCCCGTGCGTTGTCAAGCCTCGGGCGGAAGTCGCTTTGGGCGGGCCGGTCCAATGGGGGCGCTTCGGGGGGCTGCCAGAGGAGAAGGAGACCGAGACCTGGGGCGACGCGCGCAAGAGTGTGCGCAGGTTATTCGCGGGGACTTGACATGGATGCATCCGCGGCTCTGCGTTGCGAGCACGACTGCGACGGACAAGCGCTGGCGGTGCAAGCGCGGAACCGTTGGGCGCGAGCAGTTCGGCTGCGGCGCGTCGCCGACGGCGCGGCGGGAACTCCGCCACTGGGCAGATGGCAGCGATGAGGGCGCTGGAGCAAGGAGGGGAGGCAGGCGAGAGGGTCGCGCGAGGGGCGTTCCCCGAGGTGACCCAGGCGCGGCTCGACCCGCACGAGAGCAAGGACAAGGGGGATGTGGCGTGGATCACGGAGCAGCCGCTGGGCTTCTTCCAGGGGCGCGCATTCGTCGACGGGCTGGCCATGGACCCGGTGGACGAGGTGCTCAGGGCGGCTGGATGGTCCATCGCGATGTATAGAGAGGCGGGGCAGGTGCTCGGGGCGGCGCAGGAGATGCTGGGAGGCGCGGAACCCGCGAACAGGTGCTGGTGACCATGGCCAGGGCGCACAGGTCGAAGCTGGAGTGCGTTGCGGAGACGGAGCGTTGGACCAGGGAAGGCAGCGAGCAGGCGAACCAGCATGCGAAGCAAGGAGCTAGGGCGTGGAACGCGTAGTCAGAGATGAGGCAGGAGGCGATCGGGGCCAACCATTTTGTAAAGGTGGCGGCAAGGTGGATATGATGGCCTACGGCGCCGCTGCAGGAGAAGGATCCCGATGCCGACGGAAACCCGAGCGAGTGGTGGACCTCGGCGACTGGCCCGAGAAATCTTTGGAGTTCCGCGAAAAGGAGGAGGGCCCATGGCAGGGGTCCGAGGGCGCGCCGGCGCAGGATTCGACATAGGGGAACGATGAGGAGTCGGGAGGCGGGCTGCTGGAGCGGCTGGGCCGCCACCTTGTGGTTTACTGCGAGGAGGGAGGACGCAAATGTGGCTTGGCGCGCAGGAGGTGGTAAACGCGCGGCCTGGCAGGGCGACTTCTCACGCCGCGCGCCCGCCATGGACCCACTTTCAAGCCGCGCAGGGGCCAACACGGGCCAAGAGAGCAGAGGAGAAGGATGCAAGAGGGGAGGCGCCCACTGCCATCGAACGGCGCGAAAAGGTGCACCCTCCTCACAGGAGCGGGGAAGGCCGAGGAGGGCGGCGAGGAGGCGAGGAGGAGGAGGAGGAGGCAGGAGGTGAAGGAGCTGCGGGGGAAACCCCAGGCGCACGGGGCCAGGCTTCCCCCCCGTTCCGTGGCCGCGGTTGTGAAGGCCCACGGGGCCGACGAGGACGAGCTCGTGAAGCTGGGGAAGCAGGGGGCCAGGGGGGCCGCACAGCGCCGCGAGGAGGCAGGCGGCACGGGAGGCCAGTCCGCGGACGGCGGGTTTGGGCTGGGCCGGCTCGGGGGAGCCAGCGGCATGATGCCGCAGTCGCTGAAGAGAGTGCGCGGCGTGCCGCTCGGCAGGGTGCGGAGCGTGCCGCCCGTGCCTCGCCGCCGTCCGAGACGTCGTCGTCGTCGTCGTCGTCGTCGTCGCCGTCGCCGTCGCCGTCGCCGTCGCCGTCGCCGTCGCCGTCGCCGTCGCCGTCGCCGTCGGCGTCGGCGTCGGCGTCGGCGGCGTTGGCGTTGGCGTTTTCGCCACGCCGTCGTCACGTCGCCGTCGTTCGAGCAGGTGTTTCGCCACTGTCGGCCTGTGGCGGCCCTTTTTGCGCTTCGGCACCGTCAGAAATTGGAGGGTGAAAGTTGGTCCGGGATGGACCTCGCGAGGGTTGCGGAAACCGCCATAGCATCGTCGCCGGGGTCCACGCGTTCTTTTGCGTGCCAATGCGCGCTGGAGGAGGGGCTTCCAACGTCGACCTACGAGTTCCGCGCGGGCATACTGAAAGATGACGTTAGTGTCGTTTACAGTCCTTGCATCGTCGTCACATCCACATCGTCGTCATTCTGTCGTCGTCCCGCCGTCTTCGGAATGTCGTCGTCCGAACGTCGTAGTGGTGACCTCACCGACGTCGTGACCTCGTTTCGGGTGCGGCTAGAAGCGGTTCTGGCCCAAGGTGTGTCAAGCTTCTCTCGCTGTTCTGAAGCCCCTGGTGCCCTTTCTGACCAACGTTGCGAACGGGGCCGATTGCACGGACATTCGTGCGCAAGTTGCCCGCGTAGGGTGGCGACCTCTTGTCTCCTCGCGGCGTCCCGCACGGGCAACTTGAGTGAGCTGCGGCGTGAGGTCGTGATGTCCTCTCGCGTAAGAGCCGTTCCTTTTTGCGAACATGTGGGCCGCTCTGGGGATCTTGGAGACACCTTGTACCAGGGACACCTCTGACAACACGTCGTCGTCGCCGAGGCTGCCGAGCTTCGGGCAGCTGCCGGTGAAGTACACCGTGAGCGTGTACGACGGGCAGACGCTGGAGTTGGTGATCGGGGGGGGCCAATGGCCCCACAGGCTCTCTTTGTCGCCGTCCTTCTGCACGAATGACGTTCTGCGCGGCTGGTACGGCTTAGCGATGGTTACCCAGGAAAGTTTCGTGCCCCCTGGCAGGCAGATAGTGCCGGAGAGACTTTTTTGCACAACGCTTGGAAAACAGGGCCACTTCGGCATTTGGGGATTGAAGGCCGGAGCTCGCAAACGCTCCTCCTCCTCCTCCTTCTCCTCCTACCTATCCTCCTCTTATTCGACTAAGCTAGAGTGGTTTTGGGGCGGGCTCACAGGAATCGTGCCAGCACTGGCTTGAAGCGGTTTGAGCGCGTGGATTTGTCCCCTTCGCCGACGGTAACTCGTACATGTAGCCCACTTATCTGGGGCGCTCCAGAAATTATTTCGCTCATGAGGGGTCGAAGGAGTTGACATCTCTTCCTCGGCGGAAGGCGGCGGCAGAAGCGCTGCGGACGCTGGGGGAAGCACGGCGAGGCGTTCCCGGCTCCTGCGGACCCCAGCGACTGCGTTCGCATGCCGTCTCCACACCATTTCGGCGCACCCACCACACGTTTCGCGGCGCCATAGGACGCTCCACCGAAGGCCCCAGCGGTTGCATTCGCATACCTGGTCCACACACTTTCGGCGCACCCCTCGCACGGTTCGTGGCCCCATGGGAGCTCCACCGAAGGCCCCAGTGGTTGCGTTCGCATACCTGGTCCACACCGTGCTGGCACGGTCCTCACTTGCTTCGAGGCCCCATGGGAGTTCCACCTAAGGCGCCAGCTGGTCCACACGATTTCGGCACACCGCTCACACGTTTCGTGGCCCGATAGGGAGCTGCACCTCAGGCATCAGCGGTTGTGCTCGCGTATCTGGTCCACACTTTCGGCGCACCCCTCACACGGTTCGTGTCCCCATAGGGAACTCCATATGAGGCCCCAGCGGTTGCGTCCGCATGCTTGGTCCATGTCATGTTGGCGCACCCCAGCAGACGTTTCGTGGTCCCCTAGGGAGCTCCACCGAAGGCCCCAGTGGCTGCGTTCGCATGCCGTCTCCACACCATGTCGGCGCACCCCTCGCAGGTTTCGTGGCCTCATAGTGGGCTCCAACGAAGGCCCCAGTTCCAGGTATCGAATGCGTCACCATGTGGACGCACCGCTCACAGTCTTCGTGGCCCCATGTGGAGCTCCACCGAATGCTCCAGTGGCAGGAATCGCATGCATGACCGCGCCCAGGGAGCTCCACCGAAGGCCCCAATGGCAGGACTCGCATATGTGACCGCGCCATCGGCAAACTTCTCACACGCTTCGTGGCCCTATAAGGAGCTCCACCGAAGGCCCCGCCGCATGCTGTCCCTCGGGGCCGCACCGACAGACGCGCAGATTAGCCGTAAAAGCTTAGCACATCCAGATGTAACCCGTTACGGCCGACCTCTGCGACCCTTTCCCTCGCACGCCTGAATCATTTTGCAGCCCCTCTTCTTTTATTTCCACCTGGCTTGCGGTACCCGCAGCTGCTTGCTTCCGGTTGAGTTTTCCGCCAGGCTGTTTTTGGGATCCAGGGTTTCTGGAACCCGCCGTGTGGATCGCTCCAGAAAGGCCTCGCCTTCGAGGATCGAGCGGGCTGACGCCTCTCCATCGGCGGGATTCGGCGGAAGCCGGCGGAAGTACAACGGGTGCGGCTCCGCTGGCGGAAGCCGTTTGGGGCCACGCTTGGGGGCCTGTGCCTCTCTCCACCAGGGGGAGGGGTCAGCCGCCCTCGCAGTGCCACCTCTGCAGAGGCAGAGGTGCGCGAGGCGCGGGGCAGAGGCACTGCTGCCTTCGCTCGCGAACCTTGCTGATGTCTCAGGGCATCTCCGACTTGGATCGTGAGCGCCGCGCACGTTCGCGGTAGTGTGTGTCTGTCCTCGCGAAACTTCCTTGGGAACGGGAGTAGCGTTTCAAACAAAGAAGTAGAACATGAGCCCCCAAGAGCTGTCAATGTTTTTCGAGCCCAGGATTTCCGCGGAACCCGCTCATATGACGTTCGGGGCCGTTTGTTTCGCCACGGTTGTACGCAAGTAGAATGAAGACAGGCGTTTTCGCTCCCGTGTGGCCCCTCCCCCCGGACCCTCACCGATTGATCAGTTTCGAGACAGGAGACGGAAATAGTTTTTAAGAAATTCTTGACGCTTCGCGTGACCCCACTAGCCCATTCAGAGACGATGCCCAGAGGAGTTACCTCGATCAGGGATGTGGGCAGCACGCAGAGGAAGGGCCCCTCTTGGAGCGCGCTTGGGATACTCTTGGGCGCTCTTCGGGCCGTCTTGGGACTCTCTTGAGCCTCTCTTGGGGACCTCTTGGCTGTCCCGGTGGCCTCTTGAAAGTCTCGGGGGCCTCTTGGAGCCTCTTGGGATCTCTTGGGTGCCTCGGGAAGCCTCTTGGGGCCTCTTGGGAGTCTCTTGGGGGCCTCTTGGAGGCCTCTTGGGCGCCTCTTGGGGCCTCCTGGGCAGCCTCTTGGGGCCCTCTTGAGGCGCTCTTGGGAGCCTTGGGAGCGACCTTGGGGCCATCTTGGAGGAGATCGATCAAACGAGATGGAAGCTTTAATTATGTTCCCCCCTGGGGAGTCTAAAACATCGCCTCTCTGGCCCCTCTTGTGGAGCTCTTAGAGCGCTCTTTGGCGCTCTTGGGGCCGTTCTGGGGCTCTCTGGCCATCTTGTTTGTCTTTGGGCCTCGGAAGGCAACATTCATTGATTTCCTGTAGGTTTTTGAAGGATTTGGGCCTCTTGGCGGCCTCCTGGGGAGGGTCCGGCCACTGGGAGCCGTCTTGGAGCGGTTTTGGGACCTCTTGGAGCATCTTGGGAGACATTGAGCCATCTAGGGCTATATTGGGCCATCTTGGAAGTCATCTTGGGCTCTCGCCCTCCTAGAGCCATCTTGGGCCATTTTGGACGCTCCAACGACCCGCGACACCACCTCTCCAGGTCCAGGGGAGGGGTAAGAGGGAGGGGTTAAACCCTCCCCGAAGGTGAAGAGGGAGGGGTGGAAGAGGAAACGCGCTAGTCCACCTACGCCCAGAGGGCTGGTGGGATTTTGGTCGTTGGTCAGTTTCACGATGTTGTGATCTGTCAGCGAGGCCAGATCTTACACATAGTTGTGTGTTCGGTTCGAGGGTGGGTCCCCGTTCCCCCCTCCTCCGTTTCTCCCTGCTCTCTCCTTTTCATTGCTGGGTCGTGGCGTGGCCTTCTGATGTATCGGCGCGCCTCAGTGTCCGCATCCTCCTCCTCCTCCTCCTCCTCCTCCTCCTCCTCCTCCTCCTCCTATTACTCCTCCTCCTCCTCCTCCTCCTCCTCCTACTGCTCCTACTGCTCCTCCTCCTCCTCCCGCTCCTCCCCCTCCTCCTCCTCCTCCTCCTCCTCCTCCTCCTCCTCCTCCTCCTCCTCCTCCTCCTCTCTTCTCTTCCTCCTCCTCCTCATCCTCCTCCTGGGTGGCTCCCTGCGTGGCCCCCCAACGCCCCCCGCAGTCGGTTTGCCCGCGGGGGCGCGCTGGGGTCCGCCATCAGGGAGCCCCCAGCCCCAGGCGCTGCCTGGCGCGACGCGGCTGCAGCAGGCCAGCGCCTGCCTCGCGGCCGCTGGCCACCTGGCCTGCCCACGGAGGGCGCGGGCCACCCGCTGCTGTGCGGCCTCGCTCGCTCGAGCACGAGGTCGCGCTCGCCGGCCTGGCATCGGCGGCTGCGGGGGCACAGGGCTTCCGCGCGTCGTCGGCTCCGGCTCGCCAGGGACGAAGGACGCTTTCGGGACCACCACGGGTCGCGGCCGCCCATGGGCAGAGGCGGCCGCAGCTGGGGCGCTCCAGATGATCGTGGTGCTGATCATGGTCGTGCTGACCGTGACGAACGCTGGGCCTGCCTGGCCACCAGGCAATGGGGCTTCAGCAAGAACTACAGCACCAACGACAGGTGCTACATGTACAGGTCACTCCTGACGATATGCTTCGCAGGGCCTTGGGCGGGCAAACAGCCAAGCAGAAGGAGGTGGAGACCGTGGACGTGGCCGTCAGAGAGCTGGACGACTCCTTTCTGGCCAAGCGGGCCGAGGCCGAGGTCGCACACACGGACTTCGAGACCATCCAGCTCGAGGTCGCGACGGCACGTGCTGTTTTGTTCGCCAACTGCGCCTCTGGTACGGCCTCAAGTGGCGTGGACGAAGCCCTGGGCCGCCTCCAGGGCATCGTGGCAGCTGCCCCTGCCGCCGTCACAGCAGGTAACGCGGGCACGATGCTCCAGAGCCTCACCACCCACCTCGTGGAGCTGCAGAAGGCTTTCGGGCACCACCGCCAGGCCCAGACGGGAGGTAGGCCGACACAGCAGCCTCCAGTGGCTGCTCCTGCTCCTGCAGAGTTTGCACACCCTTTGGGCGCCCAGATTGGACATGAACTTGAGCGGCCAGCCCCAGGCACACCACATCGTGCGGGCATGGAGCCGACTAGCGGTGACGAGGGATACTGACCACCTGGGCATCAGGACCTTCAGGCAGTTTGACTACAGCAGTTTTGGCGTACGCCTCGCCGCTGATGGTCAACGTGCTGCTCTAAAGTATGTGACTGGTGCAATTTTGAACGGAAGCCTGGCTGATAGCGACACAGAAGGTGGAAGTTGCGTTATTGGTAACACTCCTCAGTTTCTCATGCTGTTCAACTTATTGATCCCACTTCGGGGGGTGCTGGCTTATTGCACGCAGGTCCAGGGTCGCCTGCCCAAGGTGATGCTGGTCAAGGGTGCCCTGGGTCATCGCATCTTGGTGCGGGATGCTTGAACCGCTCCGGACTGTCGACGGGCAGGCCTGCTCCCTGCCCTCAGGCGGGCTCGCGTGGTGGCCAGGCCCCCTCGAGTGGCTCATGCATTCATGGGCCCCCCGACGGGGGGGTGGTCGATGCCCCCACGAGTGCCAATCAAATCGCGTCAGGGTGCGGCAGCATACATATTGATGCTGGAGTGGGCCACTGTATGTTTCTGTCTCCG